ATGTTTTGTGTCTCAAACGCGTCAAGTCTCGATTGGTGCCATGTCATACTGCATTGGTTCTTCGCGACTTTTTTGCCAAAAACTCGACTCATATCGTTCCGCAACCACCGTATTCGCCTGATTTGGCTCCGTGCGACTTCTAGTTATTCAGCAAACTCAAAAAGCCGATGCGGGGACGCCGTTTTGACACGATTGAGGAGATAAAAACCGAATCGAAGAAGGTCTTGAAGGCTATACCGGAAAAAGACTATTCCGACTGTTTCGAGGACTGGAAAAAGCGTCGGAAACAGTGCGTTTTATCGGACGGGGATTACTTTGAAGGGGATGAAATTGATTTGGAAGAATAAACAAAGAATTTACATTTTATAAACAAATTCACCTTACTTTTTGATCACAGTAGTATGCGAGAAGAAAGAAAAGAATGCATCGCGTATCATTCGATAAAAAAAAGCTTGTAAATCGCGTTAGAACCTTCAACGTCGACTTACGCATCTGTGCGTCGCTAAGGGATGAGCATTTTTGCTTAAGAGCCAGAGACTGCGCACACTATGACACAGTTACATCCGCTGAAACTGACGCTTTAATATCGAAGCGTGCAGAGAGTTCGCAAGTGGAAAGTTTAGATTCCAAAGAGACTAAACGACTGGACTTCGATTGTAGAAATATCCGTTTTGCAGTTACATTGCGGTGATATTTGCAATATTCGGCAGGGAGAGAGTGGTGTCAATGTCGCACGAGCAAGACGACACAATGATCTCGTAACGAGAGACACGTGTTCGGTTCAGAGGAACGTTGGAGCAACGAACAGACAAACGCGTCGCGTCGAAAACGAAGCTTCCGGCCAAGAATAAAGGAAAGAAATTCCGTAAGGATTTTTCCTCGTTAAGTGGAACAGTCGGACTTTTATCGATCTGATTCAAATCCGACCACAGAGTCCGCCACGAGGGACGCGCGCGCGACTTCTTTTCTTTCCGCGGTGAATGAGCGAACGTTCGGCGATCGACAGGATCGTCCACGCACCATCGATCAACACGTTTTCGTACGTTTCGCAGCGGCTCGATACGCTGCGGAAAATCCTCGGGAGATCCCGCAACAAAATCGCCCTAACGATAAGGTTAAATGCACTCGAAAGCGATTCGCGTTGCTCGAGGTGGTGGACGTTGTAACATTCGCGAGCGGTAGATGTTTATCCGGCCGGGCCGAAAAAGAAATGTACGAGCCATGAAATTTCGAGAGCACGACCTCCGCGCGATGATCGCGCGATAATCGCGGCGCGTGGCTTGCGAAGTCCATCAATTCCCGTGGAGGTTTGAAAGCACGAACGCGAGAGAAAAAGTATTTTCGGACGGCGTTTGGACGCGCGGTTGGGAAAATGCTCGCACGTTCGAAAGATAATCCTTTCTGCGTGGAAGTCGCGAAGAGGAAATTAAAAGGGACGGGGAACCCCTTGAGATATCCGCGGGATCACCCTGAGACCGAAGACGAAGAGAGGTGCCGAAGCTACCGAGGATTACTGTGTGGTCTTACCTGGCTAGCAGGTGGACAGCGAAGTCGAGTCGCCGGACAGGGTGCATTTACGAGGGTGCGAGCCTCAAAGAAGGGTCGGTAATCGACATCGACGTGGACGGGCCGCGGCGTCGCGTCGGTCCGCGTGTTCGCGTGTTCGCGTCTTTCGCGTCTTTCGCGTCTTCGCGTGAGCACGAACGCGTCCTTACTGCCGCGGGGTTGGCCGGCTCGAAACCACTGCTTCGCCGAGAAAGCCAGGGTACGGAGCTGGTGGTCACTTGGGAGGCGCTGGCGCGATGACCAGCCATCGGAAAAACGTGCCAACACATTCTGAATGCAGAATTATATCGTCCATTTATATATGTATAAATGTATATAAATTATTATTATTATTATTATTATTATTGTTGTTATTATTATTATTATAAATTATTATTTATTTATATTGTACCAACACATTCTGAATGCAGAATTATATCGTCCATTTATATATGTATAAATGTATATAAATTATTATTATTATTATTATTATTATTATTATTATTTATTTATATCGTGCCAACACATTCTGAATGCAGAATTATATCGTCCATTTATATATATATAAATATATATATAAATTATTATTATTATTGTTATTATTATTATAAATTATTATTTATTTATATCGTGCCAACACATTCTGAATGCAGAATTATATCGTCCATTTATATATATATAAATATATATATAAATTATTATTATTATTGTTATTATTATTATAAATTATTATTTATTTATATCGTGCCAACACATTCTGAATGCAGAATTATATCGTCCATTTATATATATATAAATATATATATAAATTATTATTATTATTATTATTATTATTATTATTATAAATTATTATTTATTTAGATCGTCCAATATCCTCTGCGAGGAACCGAATATTTCCGTGTGCCTTGGACAGCCAATAGATAAGCCGATCTGTCATCCAGTAAATGAACCAGTTAACATGTGAGCGGATTATAACAATTTTAACGATCTGCAAAAATCGATTGGACAAGTGATTTATTCTTAAACTGTTAATCGTGATATCCTGATTAGTTAGCATTTCATCCGAGTGCTCGGAATGAC